TAGATTAGTGTAGTTAATTTGACAATTATGCAAGTATACGAATATAAAAATACACGATGTTTGGTCTAATTACATTACTATTATATTTCAATGAATAACAAACTCTAGATTTATAAACAAGTTTAGTTTAAACTAATACTTACAAAGGCACACATATATTCCAATGACAACAATATGTTTTAGATTATTTTGAAGCACACAAACTGTTTTAGTGTCATTTCTTTTAACAGAAGGCACTACCGCTTCAAGATAAGTAAGTTCTAACAAAATGATATGATAGACTCTCCCCCAAAATATACCGGGTACGCATGGTTCTGAGACATATATAGCTGTGAAACTGACTGACACGTATGAATTGCACAAAATATACAGCAATCACTTAAATCCTAGATGAATATAAAACGTTCCATTTGTTTTCAATTCACATTGTTCCATGCGAAGCTTACTGTAGTGAAAGTTTAAAATTGTAAAGTCTGCCGTCTTGATAACGGACGGTGGTATCAATCCATGCTAAAATTGAAAATTGTCCTCCTTCATTGTTAACTTATTGGACAGTTTGAATAACTGAACTTTTGAGAGCGAAAAAAAGAAACAAAATATAGGTAAAGTGCGTGAGTTTGTGCATATGTCCAGGAACATTCAAACATTAATATCCGTTATACGTTTACTAATAGTATTTTAATACATATTGAAAAATACAGTTAGAGTATGTATGTTTTCAATATCCGCGATTACTGCTATGCGATTAAAATTTCATCTTAACAGTTTTTTCAATATTTAACATTTTTACAAAATTAGGGGTTTCTTTTGTTTCAATCAAACGAATTCTATGGAATCGCCAGGTACAGTGGATCAAATATATTAGCCTAGTAAAACGACAACAGTTCATAGGACAAATTTGCGATCGATTTTGTTTGATGGGAATGTTTTTCATATCCTTGATTGGGCATGCTTTTTATATGATAAAGTAAAAATATTAGTATTCGTTCATTTTTTTTTCAAAGTAGATACCTATATTTTCTTCGTTTTATAGAAACATGAAATGTAAAGAATATGCTTGCATAAATATCTCAATAAAATGTTTAAGCTTTACTCGCATACGTACATCAGCGTTGTTGTTTCCTTGGTTAAGTAGCAATATAAAAAGGACATATGTGTTCACACGTACTCATATTTGGTTTTTACTTGTAATATAAGGTAGTAAATACATGTTTGTCATTTATTAGCTTAAAATAGTACAGTACAGTACAGAGCTTCTTTCCTGTAAACCGATTGCTTACGTGATAAAGGACGGATAGCTTCTGGAGTCTCCTTCCACCAGTAAGTTTTAAGAAGCGAAAGCAATGGAAAAAAGCGAGGTTTTCAGGCAGAACTAAGCGAAATTCAATCACAATTGATCGGCGGTATGAATACTCCAGCTGAGACAGGCTATTAGGAATCAAAATTACCTCCTCATCGCTGGGCTTGCTCGTTGCAAAGAAGGTACACGAAAAAATGACATCCTTACAGGGCGCGCTTATCGCGGAGAAGGCACGTGACAGGTCAAATTCGAGTCATTTTAAATACCAGGTATAACATATGAACCTGTCGGAAAAGTGTGGTTTCTGTCATACAGAAGGTCGCTGTTATGAAACGCGTAAGCATGCCGTCCAAGGATTAACCGCCACCGGTTAACAAGATTAATTACGGATCAAAATGAAGGGCCCGATAAAGCTACTGAATAAAACCAACAAGGACGGTGCAGGTCTCGAACAAAGTGTTAATTCCGGTGCAAGAAGCTAAAAATATATCAGTCAAATATGAAATGGCTTCGTTTTGAAAATTGTTTCTCGCTGAAAGAAAATGATTTCAAACGAAATCACACTTTCTCGTTTTATCTTTTTTCTAATTCTTTTTGCATGAGGTGTCTCATTAATTACTTTTTCAGTCAATGGACTGAAAGTCTGAACTATTGCAATATTCATACACCAGTGATTCGCCTAACTGGTCGTGTTTTCACCTTTCTACCATCGTGCCATCGCGTTTTTCCATCGTACCATCGTGCATCGCGGTAACAGACTAAATTAAAAATCACGACTGTCCAAACGGAACACCGTAGAACGATAATGAAAACGCGATGGTACGATGGAGAAATCGTGATGGCGCGATAGTACAATGGTGACAACGCGATGTTACTTAGCGTTTTCCCCATCGTACCATCGTGATTTCACCATCGTACTATCGCGTTTTCCAATCACAGTCTCATCCGATGTTTGACGGAAAGAGTCGAGAGGATGCGATCTGCGTCTCCGTTTAAACTAACTGCTGATCTAAAAATATACATATGACGACATAATTGCTGACCTTTTCGACATGTTCGATTTAAAAAGCAACAACGTATTATTGAGAAAGCGCTTAATGGGACAAAAATGTATATTATCTTTGGCATTTCCCGCTTAAACATTATAGCTAACGCTTTAACACCGGTATTTTATTTTCAGCTCTGAAATCTCATGATCACGGGGAGGGGGGGGGGACTGTTACACGAAGGATGGATTTCTTATGATAAATTGTCGGGGATTCGTGTGATAACTGTCACCGAGCTCGTCGGAAAACTTATTTTTCATATACAATGTATACTACAAAAATGGTAATTTCATCTTTTCACAACAATTTCCACCAGTTCAAGATGATGTATCGTGTCTAAGACCCATGTCGCTACCTTCAAGGTCATGGTGGAAAGTTATGAATAGCACTTTTTTTACGAGAACAATCTTAAGCAATTAGTTACTTTTCCTTTCATTATTCTTTTCTGAAAATACTTACAAAATCTTTTCGGAAATATTCGTCAATTTTTCGTGACAGCTCTTATTTCAGTATATTTTCATTTTATGGGACAAAATGACCAACAAATGAAAATTGTTTCAACGCATTTCAATCCTCTTTAAACATATTTATTCCCAAAAGTATATATAAAGTACATACAAATAATCATACGGCTGTTTCGATATTATTTTTTTACTAGCATTACAATTATTTTTCATATGTTTACTTCTTTAGATCATTCTTGAGAAAGACAAACTAATTATACCGTTTTGAAGGAGTCTTTTGTGTTTCGTTCAATAAATACTTTTGTTCATTAAAAACATTATGGTTTCATATTCTGTATACCTAAGACATTTGTCAAACTACAAGTGTCGTATAACAATAAAAGAAAGCTGGTTAAAACTATAAATGAGATAACCGGCGTTGCTTCTGTGCGTCATTCACGAATTTAGCTTGATGTCGTAAACATGGTTTCAATTACGCTTTATATGCTAAATTAAGTGTAAGATGACACCAGTAAATTGGAAAATGTCTCAGGTACACCGAATATAAAAAAACATCAAGTAATATATATGTTATTGTATCTAAAGATAGATCAACGAAACTAAAAAAACGCCACAAGTGCGCTAGTCAGTTCGTCAGTTTCACGAAAACTCTTGAAAAATAAACATTTTCATGGAAATATTTTAGAAATAATGTGTCAGCAACCGTATACGCTCATTTCTTTCAATGCAAAATATGCTTGCCTGTGTTAATCTTATAATGGACTGTACTTGTATTTTAGAACTGATGAAAGTTCTGTTTATCGTGCTTGGATCATACCTGCGCTAGGAAACTAAACATGTAAACAAATAGTGAATAAATGTTTGGAGCTGTTAATTAAGTTTATCGCAATATATCGTGTAAAAGTCCACCTAAATTTATATATAGTTTAAAGTTTATTGGTACAAATGTACAAAATTAAATTGGCCATGCGCGGCACACCGCGCGTCCATTTTAATTTTGTAAATACTTACTAATAAATTTAAGCCGGCTTAATTAGTGTTTTAAATTATTTTTTATAGACAGTCGACTTACCAGAATGTTAACAGTTTGCCGATGTAAATGTGTAACGATTCTTTTGAGATACTGCAATCTTATTGTACAAAAAATAATTTCAAACACTTAGTAAATTGATAGATATGAAAGTAAAATAGTACATTATTTATATACTTCTTTTTATGGTTGAAGAAATGTATACCTGTCGACATTAAGTCGGATATGGTTATAAATCAGTGGGCGCTTTAAAATTTATTCTAACTGTCAGACATATTTTTCCACAATACGTTTAGCGAAATATACTTAATTTTCCTTTGGATGTCAAACGTATACATTCGTTATATTGTTTGGTTTTATTAACCTGTCAATTACATACTGATTACACGGTCGATGCACACAGTATATAAATCTTCGGTAGATTTTCAGTAAGTTCCGTGAGATGTACGCTGTACGATGGAATTTAATTTAATTTGTATCTATAAACGAAGTACACTCAGCGTTACAGCGCAATAGGGTAAAGCACGAGTTTATAATCTATCTGCCACACTTGTTTAAAGTTCGAAACCTCGTTGGTCCATGTTTTTTCTTATTATTAATACTTTCAACATTATTGAAAGTACATATGATTATTTCATATAGTTCGTTTGATTTTATTATTTTTTACTTAATTTTGTTATGTCCATACTCATTTAAATAACATGTTTTAAGAATTCATGTAAAAAAATTAAAACGGATTAAAATCAATAAATGTCTTTTCAATGCCGTAAAACACACTATAAATCTGTTCCATTAAAAATATACTGCAAAAATAAAAAAAGAGTACTAGTGCCAACAGTAAGGATCGATCACAGACCTCTCAATAATCAGGCATTCTCTTAACCGACTGTGCTTTTGTGAATTAACGAAAACCTTCACATTAAGCTGGTGTGACTTTCAATACTCCATATTAGTTCTCGTAAACTACACGGACCAAACCGAAGTGGGATCGAATATTTAAATGAGTCCTGTTATGTATTCATAATTGACAGGTCAATAAAATCAGACTATACATTATGCAAAGATCACACCGTTTGGTTTTTGTTTACATCTAAAACCACGTTCAATCCGAATGAGATCGATATTATATTGAATGTCCATGCGCATGCGCATAAATGTTTTATGAAATTAACTTTCCTGTTGAACAACGCCATTACGAATGCGGACGAAAGGTATTATACAATATTTTTTTTCTCATATAACGCGATGAAGTGATTATTGAAACTGGATATAAATGTATTTATTTAACCTTCATCTTATCTGCAAGCATTAACAATTTGTGTTCTTATTTTTGGTTTAATGATAAATCACATTGTGATATATAACGACACAGTATTAGTATACAACAGGTAACGTTTAAGAATTTGTTGTAAATATTCAGTGTAAACTTGCGGGATAATAAATCGAATATACAGATATTTAGTGTACTTTATGAGGTCAAAGCGTCCTCTCCATTGAAATATAGCTCTGTGGGGTAACGTATGATTTCCAAAAACTATCTCACTGTGGGGAAACGCATGATTTTCAAAAACTATCTCACTGTTTCTATACGGATTTATGAAAAAATCAAATCAATCATATGGGTTTTGAGTTATCTTTAGTTTTTGCCATAATTTTTCGTCCAATGGGAATGACGCCAAAATAAAATAAAAAGTTTTATTTACTAATTTAAATGATGCGATACGAAAGTTGGATCAGATACTATGTATAGACGCTCATAAGAAAAAAATATGTGTCGCTCCAACGTCGCTTTTTTGAGTTGTTTAAATTGTTATTTTTTTCTTATTAGTGTACAATCATTACTTAATAAATTACTTGACCTTAAAAACTGCATACAAAGTCTTACTTAAATAAATTCAGTGAGTTATAAAATTAAATCAATGAAATAGGTTTAAATATAATTGCTCTATTTTAAGTCTTGTGAAAATATGCACTTCATAAGATTTTGTTTATCTTACAATATTTGGTTAAGTTGTTGTAAAACGAGATAACAATGTAGGCCAGAAAACTCCTATCGATGAATTATATTATCAAGTACTCACGGGGGAGGAAGTGTTACACAATGGATGGAGTTCTTATGATAAGTTGTCAAGGATTTCTTGTGATAACTCTGAAAATTATTGTATATACTGCAAAAACACTCGTCAAAAATAGTAATTTTCATCTTTAAAAAGTTAGTTTTAGGTGCTATATTACACTTTAATGATTAAGCTTGCCTTATATATTGTATTATGTGTCAAAAACTAATTAATAGTCCATTTTTCATCGCCTCTTGCTTACAATCTGGTAGCTGTGAGTAAAAATTTCAAATTATTTGACAATTCGCAAGTATTGACATGTTTATTTCAAGTCTTCATCATTGCCATACATAATTACCTAATGATAATATAAAATTGCAAACATGAAGCTCCCGCTAACAAATTTATACCAAATTTTTCAAATTTCCCGGAGTTCTTGTGATACCTTAAAATATGTCCTGGAGTCCTTATGGTGCCAATGTGTTTTTTGCGCTAAATCACAGCACGTTTAAGCGTTTTTTTTTATTTTTCAATAAGGTTGTAAATACTTATGAAATATAATAGTGTAGTGTAGATAAAATGTTATTCTTTTGTGTCTGCAAAGGATAAACAGGTGATAGGTTATCATCTAAGTAAAGATTAAATCTGCGGCAGTATCATGGCCTAAACAACAAAACAAAAATGTCTCAAAACTTACACGTTGTTCTCAACTATCTTTCTTAAGCAGATAATATATAGTTGTGCATCGTTTATCTAAGCGATTTGTTTCATTTTATACCATAATAAAAAAGTAGCTTGATATAACCAGGATAATTTCTTCAAACATATGTTTCCCAAAAGTACAACAATATGATAAAAAATCAAGTGCGGTTGGCTCTATTACTACCGATCTCTCGAAGAAATTTGCAAGTCCCTCCGGGTTCGGGCGGAATAAGTTTGACTAAAATATATTTTTGTTATCAATTACAGCACAATTAACAAAGTTTCCTCTCAAACATCGGCAGAAAAATAAAGACACTATACTTGAGCGCATTTTATCATGAAAGTCAATGCTCTACCTGAATCCTTTTTCCAGTCTTCGAAATCTGCGTCAGCAAAAATACCATAAAAAAGAAAAGGGGATAAGATATCTCAGTAATATCTCTTTAACTAAAATACACTCAAAACCATCATTATATGTCCTCATTCTTGTGAAAAAAGTAGGCGTACTACATTTCATAATTATCTAAAAAAGAAAATTACAATTTTTGACAATTGTTTTTGCAGGATATACAATAGTTTTCCGACGAACTTCGTGACAGATATCACAAGAACTTCTTGGCAAGTTATTATACGAACTCCATTCCTCGTGTAATACTTCCTGCCCCGTGGTACTTAAGCCCAACATTTTATCTCTAAATTACATCACTGTTTAGAGTTTAAATGAGAGGAATTATATTACGAGGCAATTACTCGGCGCATCCGAGCGACTGTGATTTCACGGTCAATTCTAACACGCCGTCAACAAACAAATGCTGCCGGACCTGAATTATGCCTGATTTGTTTCCCGCGTCGCACTTTAAACGAGTACGGCACAAGTCTCAATCTAGATTGTCAACAGTGATTTTATTGCATATTTATGTACAATTTCGGTCCTTCAATAGGGAAAATGAGGGTCGTGTTAGAATATGTATTGATTCATTCGTGTTTGGCAATCTTTTAACCCGGTATTCCGTGTAAACTTCTTTAAATCTGCAGTTTTGAACGCCATATAGAATCTTAATATTATCTTATACTTACTCCAATAAGGAGGTGAAGTGGTTTAAGGCTTGCCTTCCACCTGGTGGTCTGGCCGACCCCAGTCATATGACAGTAAGGAACGCTTTTTTAATTCATACTTTTACAAAACAATACAAGGCGTAAAACCGTTTATATTGTATGACTTTCAGCTTCAAATGACGTTGGCCTTCAAGGTCAAATCGTTGAATTTTATTGAAATTTTGTTACTTAAATGAACATTTCGTCTGATATTATTGACCTGCCAATTATGAATATATCCTACAACTCATTAAAATAGTTTATTCCACTTCGGTTCTGTTTGTGTAGTTTACGAGAATTTATATAAAGTATATAGCTGTTATATAACAGGTATATCATCTAAATGTATATCCGCAATAGCACTGTCGGTAAAGTGATAGCCTAATATATGAGAGGATTGCGGTTCGATTTTCAGTTCTGCCATCGTTTTAGACCAATTCTTTCTTTATTTTGCCGTATATTTTACTGAAAAAGGCAGATTGCTTGCATGATTTAGCTCAAATATAAAGCATCTTAGGAACACTATTTTGTCTAGATTTTTATTGTGATTTACGAAATTGAAATGATATTTATTGATTTTAATCTGAATTAATTTTAAATATCAATTCTAAAACCTTGTTATTTTAAAAGAGTATGGCCCAATAAAAGCAAAACACATTAAAACAAAACGGAAAACATAAAAAAACAATTCAAATGTTGAAAATATAAATAAAAAAGATAGCATAGACCTTCGAAGACGTAGGAAATCTAGAGATTTTAAATAACGCTAAATGACGCTCAATATTTTTTGGACACAAACTTAATAAATCACATCTTACTGCGTAAAACTCACGGTACTTACCGTAAATCCGTCGAAGATTACATATATTGTGTGCATTGAGCGTATAATCAGTATGTAATCGACATATTTTTAGAATCAAACGATAAAAAATTGTTTAGACGCTAAGATAAAACAAGACGTTTACTAACAGAACAGACGTGTTGACTAATTTAAGTATGACACACTTTCCCCGACCGTCAAGTTATTTTAAAATTTTGATAAAATTGCAATTGCTTTTAATTAAATGGATTTATTTGTTTCTCATTTGTTTTAGTGTTTGTCCAATAGGAGTGCAGTATTCCTAATAAATCGCAACACATTTACATAGGTAAATCGGCAAATATGCATCAGTCTAGTAAATTGTCTGTTTATGAAAATAATTTCAAACACTAAGCAGGTTAAAGTTTATTAGCCATGCCTGGCCAATTTTATTTCGTAAATACCTAATAATAAACTGTTTCCTATACTTTAACAATTCAGGTAAGAATTTCTTTGGCCTTAAAAGTCATGTAAGTGAATTATCATAAAAAGGATAAAAATTGTTATTTTTAACCGTTTATATTCATACTTACGTAATTAAAGTTTTTTCATGATCTTTAACTGACCATGACCCTTAAGTTCATATATGAAAATTCATCCTCATTCTTTAAAACTTTGTAATTTTTGCTCAAATATATATTTATATAAACATTTATTTTGTTTAGACTGGACAAAACAAAATTTATGACAAAACATTCATATGACATTGAACATGCCAAATGGGTCTCTATCAATGATTTTACAATTGATTAAAAGAAATAGTCAACTGTGGCCCCTGCATGAGATTGTTCTTTTTTCAGGTATAGAAGAACTATGCGGGGATATTTATCACCTTCAGTGATAAGTCTAGTGTTTCGTGTTTTTTTTTTTTTTTTTTTTTTGTTGTTTTTTTTTGTTTGTTTGTTTTCGGCCCATGCAGACTAATAAATAATTTAAGCAGTTTTTAACTTATTCAGCTACAAATGACAGAGTACAATGTAGTATTAAAATACTGTTAATCATTTTCATATGCTAGTTTTATCATTTATTGATTTATATTTATTTACTTACTTATTTAGTTTTTATTTATTTATTTATTTATTTATTTATTTATTTATTTATTTATTTATTTAATTATTTATTTATTTATTTATTTATTTATTTATTTTTTATTTCACATAGAATGGCTATGTCACGTAGTTTCAAAGAATGTGGAAGTGATGAAGCTAGGGATGATGATGATGACCCAGACATTTGCTCTCATTGTGCTACTGATGGGAAACTGCAACCAGCATTGTACTTCTGTTTTAATTGTGGCGTGTATGGTAGATACATGTGTGGCATTTGCCTGAGGCAACACAACCGGTTTGTGAAGAACCATGAGATAGAAAAAATTGCAAATAGATCAGCCTGTAATAGGTATGTACTTCTGTTTTTAATAAACCTTCAAAACGTTGATGCAATTTACGTAAGGAACTTTATTTTGTTAAAGAAAAAACGCTTCATGTGTATTTAAAACAAGTAGGCTATTTGAAGGACCAGAAAAATATATAAAACTCTTAAGGTATTAGCACCCTAATGCATTACCTCCGCTTTGAAGAGTATTCAAATAGGCTAGAATTACTGTTAACTACATTGAAAATGAGGGCCATGGGTTCAATCCCCAGAAGGGTCAACTTTTTTTCTCTTTCTTTTTTTCTTTTAACATTATTTATGTATCTCTCATGTCCCATATGGAAAGAAAAAAGTGTTTAATTTTGAATTTTTAATTTATATAGGTTTTTATTGGCTAAATTATGCTAAATCTAGTAATAAATATGGAACCTGATATTTTCAAAGTGTAATATAATCAAAACTAGACGGTAAAAGTATTTCATATTTTAAAAGATCAACCAATATACTTTTTTAAAAATTTAGGGAAACTTTGAAAACAGTCACTCATTTTGGTAAATTTTAAGAATGTTTTGAATTAGGCTCCCTAAGTAGAAAAATGGTCAGACATGTGGTAAAAATGGGTGGGGTAGGGTAATATTTTTATACAGATTTCATAAATTTTAAGTAGAAACCATAATTTTGCTTGTGTGGATTGTTAGCTGAATTATACTATTTGTTTCTTACCAAAAATTCATGGGAAAACATTTTTCATTAGAATGTTATTGCAGATTATTTAAAGGTTCCTCATTTCTAAAAAAGGGCCCTCATAACATCCTAGCTTGAGTTCAGAAAAGTGGCCATAACTTGATTTCCGTACGGTAAACTTTGTTTAAATTTTGCATACAGGTGTACTTTAAGGTATACATCTGACCTATGATGTCAATTCTTTAGTTCCTGATAGTGCCCATTAGGGTCCTAATACCTTAAGTGAAATACGGGAAATTTACAGCTTCTACTACCCACCAGCTGGTTCGTAAAAAAAGACAAATGGAATGTTCTTCTGAAAATAAATCAACAAATATATACCCAAAGGAAAACGAAATGATATTCAATAAATTTCAAACGGCTTTGATAAAAATAATAAAAATTTGTCACATTATATCTTAGTCTCTTTGTACTTACCGGAGCATGTAACGTACCGTTTCACTCAGTGCAAGCAATGAAAAGTAGAAGTTCCGTGCAAAAATAATTCTGATTCTGATACAACACATTTTTAATTACATTTGATACTCTAAAAGGAGATTATCACACACATTTCTGTAGTTAAAACTCTGTTTTGATTCCCAACGGTGATGACACGACTTGCGGGATTTCAGAGGTTGTAGTCCATTGTGTTGCTAATGCAAGGTGAGAAGCCGCAGCAGGTTGAAATACAATTTGGCTTGAATGTTTCTACTTTAGAGCACCTTGTTCGTTTTCCTAGAGTAAATGGAAGTCTTACTGACCGATCGACTTCGTCAAGGGGTTCCCGTGCGTAACAACACGACGTCAGGACATAGATATACGTCTTGTTCACCTGCATAACCGGTACGATACTGCCATGACACTAAAAAAGCAATCATATCCATCATATTCTCTCCAAAACTGTAAGGAACCGATAACTTGAGGCGTATCTTAAGTGTAGTCATCCTTGCGTTGCTCAGCCTCTCTTCGTATACTTTGCGCGTGTCTTGTGGCTTGGTAAGCGCCACATGCTCCTACTCCGAACATTTCTAATCAGGCATTTGAGACGGGTCTTTTCATAGTCGAGTGGATCGCCATTCACCCGGTTTCGTTCGGATTGTCGATGTCGTATATATCGACGTCGTTGGAAACGCTTCGCTGATGCATGCGTAACTGAGGAAGGCAGATTGCTGGTGGCTCAGTAATGGTCTTGTTTGGAATATCTTACGGTGTTAAGTCACCCTGGTTGTGTTGGATGGGAATTTTAGCGCCGTCAGTTAAAGGGAGGAAAACCTCGGCCCGTAAACTGTTCCTTTGGTCAATCAACGTAGCCTCATTTTCCGACAAGACAAGGACCGACCATAATATTGAGAGAGTTTGTAGACAGTTTCTTGCGAATACATTCAGTCATTTGACTGGCCAACTACCATATAGTCTACATATGTCTTTAATCAAATATCTATGGGACAGACGGGACAGGAGGAAAAGATGGCGTCCAAACACACAACCACGATCGACCAACTGTGAAAAAGTCTTGTCGTAAGAGTGGAGCAATATCTCTATGAGAAACATAAACATCCTTTGAATTCAGTGCACATGAGAAATGGCTGCGATAGCTGCGGGAGGAGGACATACCGAAAACACCGAATTGAATTAGTTCCAAAAACTCTCAAAGTAAAGGTCAAAGTCTAGTGAAATTTTCAGAACTAATTCATAAAAGATTTCCAATAAATTATGAAACAACATTTAATACCATTGATATTAATAACCTTAAATAACCGCTAAAAACTTAATTTTGGTACATATGATTTTATTAGTTTCGCCCTTTTTCTCTTTCATACGCCTTCTTTTATTTCGTGACCATACGCTGCTTTTCATGAAATGGCACGTACGTTTCGCAATAAAGGTTTCATGATCAAGGACGTATAAACATATTTGCCAATACCATTTTATCACATACCTGTGCCAATTTTGGGACTCCTTAAAATGGTATTTAAACGGCCATGCATGTATTTTAACGTCATTTACGCCACACAAACCCAGTTTTAAGAAGAGCTAAATGTTAGCATTTTCACTTTAAGCGCGTCAACGAAAATAATTATTTTGCACTTTAAACAGTTTTTATTTCGGGTATGTGATAAATAGAATATCATATTCGTGTTGGTCCATTACTGAATGTATTGAATTATATTTTGCTTGCCGGAGACTTGCGTAATAAATTTTTATTCAACTCGTTCAATAAATTAAGTACTAAACGTACACTTATTTAATACCCTCTATATAATACGTTGATACTGCTTAAGCCGCTGTCGGGAGCTTACATATACCAGTACCGTTCGGTGTCGCCTTGGTGAATTTTCGTAATCTTTGTTCTTTAGTAAATCAGTCACATTTGAGGCTTAATTCTAGATTCCACTGTTTTTGATGAATAATATAATGTCTTCAACTTTAAACATCAACACTATCTTAGTCAAATGAGGCCCAAAATATAATAGGTTAGCCATCTACTTTATTCAGAAATCTTCATTCTGTTTTAACACTTTTTAAATTTACCACTTTGAAAACTCCTGACTGCTGGTGGGTAGTTCATTTTTAACCCTTCCGCTAACAAATGAGTTCCTGGAGAATACACAAAAAAACAACTTTTAAAGTCATCATATTACAAACAAAATAGATAAATACAGAATCCCCAAAGAAAGCCCAACACGGCAAAATTGAAAATGTTGCAGGCTCGGTTTGATTGAGCCTGTTCATGGACGGTAGTGGAAAGTGCAAGTTACCGTCCACGACCCCTAGCACCGGCTTAAGCAGAATTCAACATTTAAACATGAAATAGTAAAATTTTGAATTTATAAACATCCGCAGATGTGCTCATACGGCGGTTATCATGGAACCTTCAATGTGACACTTCCGTGCCATTCCATGAAAAGCGGCGTATGGTCCCCAAGTAATATAAAGCGTGTGCCCTAAACGAGAAAACAATGGGCAGAACTAAATGAAATGGAATTTTGAAAGGGTATCGGAGGTTATGAAGCCTGCGTATCACAGATAAAGACGTCAAAAGACAAATTTAAAAAGCAGGCAACATATCCTAAGGGTGATTCAACATTATTCAAGTAGGAATATTGGAACCACCCAACTAGAAAATGCCGAAAAGTTGAAAATAAAAATACCACAAGCACAACAATAATGTCGTGCTGAACGATCTTCAAGGATCGAAAATATAACATCATTGATTAAATGTACGGGGAGACTTTTTACAGCCGCCACACGGCACAAATAACACGGATGTGATCATAAAATAGATAAATACGCACATGCAATAAATACACTTTAATTATGACCAATCTAACTAGAGATGACTTATATTGGGCCAATTCAAAATTTTAAAGAGCAACTTTCTAGACTACAACGGGTTGGGATAATTCCGTACCGGGTTGAGACCTAAATGAATCCAAAATTAAAGTTAAGCCAAAATTTATACTCATTTCCTAGTAATTTAGTGTTATACAAGTACAATCATATAGGTTTGACGTGTCTCTAACAATTACATTAATGCAGTACAATTTCTTGAATATGAACCTTAACTGTGCAACACCAGTACATGTCGAAAGAAATTATAAGAGGCATTTATGCTGTAGTTCTGATATCTAAAAAAGAAAGAAAATAATGTCTTAATTAATCAATAGCCTGATGTGCTTATTCACACAGGAGGGCTTAAATATTGTGTACTTAAAAATGCATGCCTGCATGGAAATAACAGTTTACATATTATGAACCTAACCCTATTTATCTGCTGTAACAGCTACAACAACAACAACAACAACAATTACATCATCTGTGTTATTTTAAATGAGCCATTTATCCATAAACAACACTGTTTAATGACTAGAAAATCTTTTATGTGTATATATGAGCAAATACATTCTGCAACACAGCAAAACATAAACTTTCACTACACTGAAAATGTCTATATGTCCAACATGTAAATCACATGTGTCCTGTCCAGTTGTCAGTTCTGCTTCATTGATATACAAGACAATAGTGAATATTTACAAACTGTTTACTACAGCATCAATCCTTTGCTGAAACATCGGTGCATATAATGTGTGGTCCATATGAGCAATAGGATACTATGGTGCTTGTTCGAATCCAATGGCCGGTGCTTCTTGGGCCCCTAAGATCTCTGGAAAGAGCTTGCCAATCACTGTTTTACCAATGTAACCAGTCTGAAAACACACACTCCCCAATTCCTTGCAATGCATAGTTTATCCATAATTTAAGATACATTTCTTCTATATAAATCTTATAAAAATATGTTAAAATATACTGCTAAACACAGGGTGCAAAAATAAAATTTATCAATTTATAAACTGATTTATACACATTTTAAATTTCATTTTTTAATCTTAAATTACTTTTTACAGTTTTAATTAAATAAAATGTGATTAATCTTTCATGCAAAAGTTCTGTACCCTTATTCCTGCTTACTGACACAGAAGCAGACATCTAAAATTGAAGGGGAGATAACAATAACAACATCTGTCCCAATTTTGAATGTCAAAATTTAAAATTTCAAATAAAATTTCAAATGTTCAAACCTGTCAGTTATCCTTTATTTTCCCGATTTATATGCATAAAGACAACATTGATGCAAAGTTTCATCAATATCCATCAACCAGTTCCCAATTTTCTCATTTTTCATAGAGGTGTCGGCTTGGTGAATTTTTGTATTCTTTGTTCTAGAGTAAATCAGTCACATTTGAGGCTTAATTCTGGATTTCACTGTTCTTGATGAATTATATACTTTCTTCAACTTTAAACATCAACACTAAAGTCAAATGAGGCCCAAAATAAAATAGGTTAGCCATCTACTTTTTTCAGAAATCTTCATTCTGTTTTAACACTGTAAATTTACCACTTTGAAAACTCCTGACTGCTGGTGGGTAGTACATTTTTAACCCTTCCGCCAACAAATGAGTTCCTGAAGAATACACAAATTAAAACAACTTTTTAAGTCATCATATAACACACAAAAACTACACACATGCAATAAATACACTTTAATTATGACCATTCTAACTAGAGATGACTTTAATTGGACCACTACAAAATTTTAAGGAACTACTTTCTAGACTAAAACGGGTTGAGTCTAATTCCGTACCAGGTTGAGACCGTTCATGAACAGGCACAAATATCGAGTCTGGAACATTTTGCCGTTTTGGACCTTCTTTAGACTAGAGTTTTCTGTTGCAACTGTTAAAAATTGGTCAACCCTAGAACTTTGTTTAATTGCTACTTTTCTTTAAATTCATCGAGATTCTTAGATTTTTATAATATTGACACCTTTAACCGAGCTAGGGGACTTGAGAGATTGTGCATTTACCATTGTATTTCGTATGAGTTTTAGGATTGTTAGGAAAATAAAAAGAAAGGTAATGAAAGGTCGGTGTCCGACTAAGGCGCCCATTTGTATCTTAAATATGTATATTTTAGGCTTATGAGGTCTGCCTTTACCACAAGTAAAGTTAGAAAGTCGTCATATGGTTTTAACAATGTCAAGTGTTGAGTAATGGTGTTCCGTCAATTTTCTTGAAAATTTTCTTTAAACGAAGGAAACAACAAACAACAAAAGCATCGGTTTGAAGTGGAACGTTATAGCGATTTATGTGAAAAATGCTATCTGCAGATGAAAAAAGTCCATTTATATACAATGATGGTATAAACGTCCGTATGTGTAATTTTTAAAAAGAAAATAATAAGCAAATTAGCCGGGTCGGAGCAGGAAAAAAATGGCATGTTTCACTACATTTTAATTATATAATTGTAGTTCTTAGTTGCAAACTGTACAAAGTCACTTCCAACTTATTTGTATTAAAATAGAAAATATTAAACCGTATTTGACAAGATTGTGTATGTGTGAGGTATTGTTGTTGCTGTCATTGCTCCCGGAAGGTGATACGATTAATCTTTTCAAATTTTTATATAAAAGCATGTGAACACAAAGTATGAAATATTATATTTACAGATTAGATTATGAGAACAAGAAGACAATGAAAGTTGAAAAAGATCTTAAGTCCAAAGAGGCAGAGGTAATGCTATTAGAGGAACAAGTCAATGAATATTCAAAGGTAAACCAATGTCACCAAGAAAGAATCAAAGATTTGGAAACTGCATGTCAAAATTTGGAAAAAGAAAAAAATCAAGGTGAAAAAATGGCAACTAGAAATTTAGAGCACTTGCAAAACATTCTTAAAGACAAAACAAAGACAGCTGCTGACGAGTACAAAAATCTCTTAGCAAAAATGGACAATTTACAAGACAGGTATCTTAATCCGATTTTTACTACATCATTTAAATAATTTAAAAACCCTTTTAAATATATAAATCAATAATTTTAATGTCAGCAAAACTTATTTTATCATCTTAGCAGTATTGGAATATTTTAGTTTTCCCCTTTATTATCATCAGCTGATTATTTTCCGAATCATCACATGTTATTCAATAATTTCAAATTCAAAAGTCATAATTATTTCCTACTGTCCCTCTTACTCCGATTGTTTTGCTTGTATTTGACAAGGATTTAATTGCATCATTTTCATCATTTTGAAATGGTGATTTTTCCATCTTGTTGTGCAGAATATTTCGTGCTTTTGGATAAGACTACTAAGAGAGTAGTGGCAGAAATTGTCAGTGTTATTTTTAGTTTGCCGTCTGTAAAATCACACATCATGTGGATACAGTGTATGAATAATATATCATCAGACCCAATTGGTTAAAACTGCAAATGTAAATTGAAATTAGTTTTGAAATATTTTTGTTGTGTTATAAAGATAAAAAATGTATCAAAGTAACAACATCGTATACAAAGTCAGATTAGAATTCCGTTTGTCTTTCTTAATCATTTGTATGAGCTCCAAATATTATTGTAATTGACTCCATCACCTAAATTTAAACAGGTTCAAGTCCTACCAAATTCAGAGATGTGCGACTAGTCATAAAAATTGTAGTACACCATCCATATTCATTTTATCTCCAAACATTTGGTATAAATATTGTCTTCATTTTGTCTTCATCGTCTGTCCAAAATGTCAATCCGTCTGTCTGTTCCCATTCAGCTTTTCAAAGGTAAAATGCCTGGGAGTTTTCAACAAAACTTCACAGGAACGATCAGTTCCAACCCTAGTTGTGCATATCACCGGCATGTTCCGGTTCTTGTCTGTCTGTTTGTTTGTTTGTTTGATTCATTTTACGCCGTGTCCCAACATTATTTCAGTCATATAGGCCGGTAGTTTCCTAACCATCGTTCCTGGAGAGTTACAACAGTACTAGACTACCTTCCTCCGTGCTAAACTACCTAAGCATCTCCCGGGGATCGAACCCACGCTAGAAATGTAACTGGATTAGAACTCATCGACTCACAACCCCTCGACCACGGAGGCGGTGTATATGTTCTGGTTCACTACACAAAATGGCCGCCAAAGTAATAAATAGAAAATATTGTCCGGCTTCTTGATCAAACTGCTGGTTCGATTTTAATGAAACTTCAATGGAGTGATCAACACAATTCCTAGTTGTGCACATCGCCGGCGTGTTCCTCTTTGCTGCACAAAGTCGCCAGGGCTATAAATAGGAAAGTCTTGTCCCGCATTCACAGGTCAAACTGCTGGTGAAATTGCACTGAAACTCCACAGACGTGATCAGATCCGTATATTGCTGTTCATTGAAAACTCTTGTCCAGCTTTCAAAGGTTAAAACTACTGGTAGAATTCCATTGAATGGCGGGAACTCAATGAAACTTCCCAGGAGTGATCCGTACTGTTCTTTGTTTTCCATATCGCCAGCATGTTTCAAAAAGTAAATATTGTCCAGCTTTCACGCGGACACTCAATGAAACTTCACAGGAGTGTTTAGTACCATCTCTTGTTGTGTATATCCCCGGCATGTTTTGTCTCGCTACACAAAATGGACGCCAGAGTATATCAAAGTAAAATCTTATCAAGCTTTCACAGGTCAAACTGCTGGAAGGATTCCAATGAAACTTCACAAGAGTGACCAGTACTATATCTCGTTGTGCATATCGCCCGCACGTTCTACTTTGCTCCACAAAAATGGCCACCAGACCTTTTAATAGAAAAGCCTTGTCCGGCTTTCCAAGTCAAACTGCTGGCGGAAATCCATGAAACTTCAATAGAGTGATCACTACCACCCTACCACCCCTAGCTGTGCATCTCGCAGGCGTGTTCTGCTTCGCTACACAAAATGGCCGTCAGAGCAAAATCTTTTGCGGCTTTGAAGGTCAGGCTGCTGTCGGGATTGCAATGAAAATTTACAGAAGTGGTCAGTTCCATCCCTAGTTATGCATATTGCCGGCCTGTTACGCTTTGCTGAACAAAATGACCTACATAGCTATTGAAAGAAAAATCTTGTACAGCTTTGATAGGCCAAGCTGTAGGCGGGATGTCATAGTAAAATCACAGAGGTGATCAGTACCATCTTTAGTTGTGCATATCTACGACGCGTTCCACTTCGCTGCACAAAATGGCCACAAGAGATTAAAATAAAAAAATGTCCAGCTTTCATATGTCAAGCTGCTGGTCGAATTCCAATTTAACATCACAGAACTGATCAATTCCTTAGTGATACCTTGTTGTGCATTTCGCCAGCATGACCTGTTTTGCTGCACAGAAGGGCCACCAGAGCTAAAAATAGAAAATCTTGTCCAGCTTTCAAAGGTCAAACTTCCATTGTAACTCCCAGGAGTCATCAATACTATACCTTGTTGAACATTTCGATGGCTTCGTTTCATAAATTGGACGCCAGAGTTATCAATAAAAAGATCTTGTCTAGCTTTCACATGTCAAACTGCTGGTTGAATTTCAATGAAACTTCAAAGGAGTGATCAGTAATATTCCAAGTTGTGCATTTCTCCCGCACGTTCTACTAGGCTGCACAAAATTGCCACCAGAGCTTTAAATAGAAAACCTTGCCTTGTCCGGCTTTCACATGTCAAACTGCTGGCAGGAATTCAATGAAAATCTGTGAAGTGATCACTAACATTCCTAGTTGTGCATCTCGCAGGCGTGTTCTGCTTCGGTACACAAAATGGCCGTCAGAGCAACATCTTGTGCGACTTTCAGGGCAGACTGCTGTCCCACATCGCCGCACAAAATGACAACCAGAGATTTAAATAGTAAATTTTTGTCCAGCATTCCCAGGTTAACTTGCTGTCGGGATTTTGACATTTCTTCACACTTTATAACCAGTACCTTCCTAAGTTTTGCATGCTGCCGGTACGTTCCGCTTCACTACACGAACTAGCCAACAGAGCTATAAAAATATTAAAAAAATCCTGTCAAGTCAATGATTTATGCCGTCCAGTTAGCTTAATGGTTAGAGCGTTGGACTGTGAATCTGGCGGCCCAGGTTTGATTACCGGACGGCGCAGGTCACTTTCTTTGCAATTGACCATTCGCGCTGTACCTCTGCTCTTGCATGGCATGTACAGAAGTAATAAGTTCCTTGCGAAAGTTGTATGTCAAAAAACATTTCTTACACTGCGACTTCAATTATCTGAAACCCGTTTCATTCAAGCATCGGATATACAAAGAGAGACACTCGCCAAAGATTTATTATTTGTAATGGGTTTACTGTCTTTATTATTATTATTATATTTAAAAAAAAATACAATTTACTTTAATGCCAGTTAAATGACTTAATTCGTCAGAAGTATCGTGTCTCATATTTTCCTTTAGCAGAATGTCGAAATGCGTCCGCCACAAATCACTTCAAAATTAACACAATTATCACTTCAAAAATTAAGTCATAAACCTGAAGTCATCAGTCAAAGTCACAAGTCAGAATTGAAGTACAGGGCTTCCACTATAATTCTGAGGATAAACATACATGAAAGATTTAAAACATAAAAATAATTCTGCTTTTATTGTAATGTAGGTTATAAAATAAAAACAGCATCAACACACGAGGGTATCTGATTTGTACAAGGGGCATAGCCGAGTGTTCTGATGTTATTTCTCCTTTTGACCATAGGCAAAAATAAAAACACGTTCACTGTCGTCACAATATTAAACCCCAGAAAAAAGTAAACAATGAACGAGCATTCAAATAGGACAGTTCTATCGTTAGCTCTTTCCCTTCCCTGCCGAAGGGAACCCCAGAAAAAAAATTAACCAATCCACGAGAATGCTTAAGACAAACAGTGAGTGCGGGAACCTAATGCTTGCACTCCAGATAACACATTGTGCATGCATTGGTATACGATTAAACTCTGACACGTTTACAAACTATGATATAATTGTTTCTCATAAATGCTAAATAGTATGCTAAAATATTGAAACATATATTTTTATGTTTGCTCAAAGGGCACAGGAAAATGATTTAAAAGTTAAATCGCTGCAACATTCAAATGAAGAGCTACACAAAGAAAATGCGGCGTTATTAACTGAATTAAAGCAAGTTAAATCGGAGAATGAAAATTTGTCGAAAGAACTCATTGGATGTAAAAATGTCTTAGCTGTAGAGGGAGAAAAATTTGACCACAAGACGAAAATACAAGAATGTGAACGTGATACAAATAGAAAGGGAAGCAAGCTCATTTTTAAAGGAAAAGATGATTCATACACAGGGTATTTATTTCATTAAAACTACCTTTCAGCTAATGATATTTGAAACTATTTTATTATACTATTTTAAATTCAATTAACGTGCACCCTAACTGGTACAAAAGTTAATTTTATTTATTTTTATACAGTATACTTTAAGTTTTAGCGGTTGTTAATCTTACTAGGATAGTAAGATAATTAATAGAAATAAAAAGACTTGGCATAAAAATATATAACAAAACATTTTTCTGTTTAAATGACAGTTTTTTAAGATTGATATAGCTTAGGATATGCTTATTTCATTTATGATACAAAAGAACTTAAAATGTAGATGAGATAGCTCGAACATGCCACACCCAAAAACTTTTGTTGTGCTTGTCATTTATTCGGTCAATTAAATATGTTTACAATCCTGATTTATATTCAAATTTCTTTACGTTTACGTTGTAAAAGTACCAGTTTTTATTGTGTCGATTTATTAATAAACATTTTTTAAAGATCATAACTACTATGACCTTGTTTAGATTTATAAAAACTTATGAAATTATTTTCGAAAAAAATAAGTGTGGACATTTTTTTTCAAATAAGATTCTTAATCAAATATTCGATTTCTAGATTTACGCCAGATAGAAGATGACTACATAAACTGTTTTCATATTATGAATAATATATGCTATTTAACAAGTTATTTAAAATATATGACTTAGAATGCTGTGTTTTGTGTTGTTTAAAAAAAAACCTTATGATATTTTAGCGACCTCTTCAAAATAATATTCTTAGATCAACGCACGACCAGATAAAAAATTGAACACAAATTCTTTTCACATTTTTGGTCTTTAATACTATTTGGCAAGAAAAATAATTCAATATTTCAAGACTTTGATATTTAATTATCGACCATTTAAACAGTGTGAACGTATACTTTTAAAAGATTGATTTAATATATAAATGGATTAATATAGAACTTTTAAGCTACTCATAGATGATAATGCATGATAGCAGTCTTTATACTTTTTCTTAATTATAATTTTATAAATGTTAGATATTCAAGACAAGGGGAAATAGCTGATGGCAAGTTACACAGTGGTGATGTTAGAACGATAGAATACAAGCCGGTGGTGGTTGCTATTGAAATTGGCAATACTGGTAGCTGTTGTGCCTACGCCTTCAAACACGAAAGCATTCGAAGACGTATATATGCCATCGACGAATGGTATTGCGGAAGCGGCTGTAAAAAAGTGTCAATAGAAAATCGCTCTGTCGTGTTATTCGATGAGAATAAAAAGTTTCATAGCTTTGGTTTCGAAGCAGATGATGCTTATGTAATATTAGCTGAAAATGGTGAACACACCAAGTGGTTTTACTTCAAAAACCTTACAATGAAATTACGAGGAAGTGATGTAAGTTTGATTTTTCTTATGTTTTCAACCATTTAATGTTTTGTCAAAATTGTTCTTTCTTAATTAAAATAAAAACAAACTATAAATGCATGTACTAAAAAGAGCTAGTATGCACACACAAAAGGTTGACAAAAAAAAATAGCGTAACAATTCTTGTAGAAGTGCACATCTTCTGAAGGGAATTTACTGCGTTCAAATCTATATCTATATAAATGAGTAATCTTATCGGATCATTGTTTAGTAAATGGAATTTGTAAGATAAATATATAAGAATACTCGTTTTTGACATTTATTTTTTTTATTTCATGAGTACTACTTGAAACACCCGAGTCCATTAAAACAAGTTGGTTATTTTAACAGATATTGTATTAATACATATCAGAGTCCGGTGTCTCCGTTAGTTTAAGAGTTTTAAAGAAATTTCATCTGGCACTGGTGTGAGGGTTGCCAGATGAGTCGAGTGATGCAATATATTTTTTAATTTCTTATTAACATTATTTTTTTGGCGCATTTTGAATAATACAGTGCTCTTAAACTGATTCATTTCACTAAAAGCGCTCTTAAAATGATTCATTTCACTAAAAGCACTCTTAAAATGATTCATTTCATTATCATGAATAAAGTTGTAAATTCTGTAACAGTGGGTCGCACGTATAAAGGTTCGATCCTTTTTAAGCGAAATGAAATAATACGATACGGAATAATGGCGGAGGAAGGTGACAAATAACATGAAAATAAAGTGCATGCGGAGCAGAAGATGTAAAAAATAAAAGTATATATCTCATTGTAAGAAAAAAGTTATTGAGGTATTTGTTACTTCAAATGCCACAGGTAGCCTTATATACTTAGTAAAAGAAACAACGACAAATATTTTGAATATAAATTTACAATATTTGATGTTTTAAGCACCAACATATTTACTGCTTATAACAAAACTATATTCATGAAGAATGTCATCTATTGTGCACTATTTTTACAATATTACCGCTCAGTACACTAACCGTTCTCTGTTGAAAAGCAGTTACATTTAATGGTCATTAAAGTATATCATACAATGATTGACTGTTCTGACTAGGGATGAGGTCTTCCATGCTCTGATACAATTAAATATAAAATGCCCTCTTTAGAAAACTGTGTTTCCAAAAAATGGTGTGTGTGCTTGTGCGTGCGCGCGTGTGTGTCTGAGAAAAAACAGCTTAGTTTTAAACAAAACTTCATACTGAAGATTGTGGAATGTGTGCGTCATGACATATTTAATGAAAAATTTGTCAGACAGACACATGTCAGTGCATATAGGCCTACTATACACTAATTGTGGTGTAGTCGTCAGCTCGTGTGTATGACAAAAATGAAGTGTGATCTTTAGCAGTGAAGGACATTTTCACCAGGACATTCCACCAGTCAGCCAGACATTGAGAGAGAAACCATGCATCAAGATTTTATAATGATTTTATGAGAATTTTATACATAACAAACAAAAACGTCAACAAGAGGTTTGACATTTGCTTCACTATTCAACAAGTAATAGCAAGAGAATCGAAACACGAGGTTATCTGATTTGTACGAGGGGGCGTAGCCCCCGAGTATTAATCAGATTGCCGAGTGTTTAAAAAAAACTTTTGATGTTCTTTCTCTTTTGTATCATAGTCAAACATAAAAACACGTTCCCTGTTGTCACAATATGAAACCCCGGCAAAAAGGAATCAATGAACGAACATCTGAATATGATTTTTCTGTCGCTTTCACTTTCTCTGCCGTCACGATATGTAAACCCCAGCAAAAATGAGCCAATCAATCGGCATGCTCTGGATTGCGGGTAACTAATAACTGCACTCCAGTTAACGCACTGTGCATGTATATGTATACGATTTAACTCTGACACATTTTCAACAGAAAGGTCCCCAAACTATGATTCAATTGTAGATAGTTACTGAAATAAACATGTTTAGAATTCAAATTACAATGCATACGATAAACAATTGGATTTATAGCATCACATCATTGTACATTCGAGCTGCAAACAATCTAAATAGATATACAGATTATAGCCCCTTTGTATTCAAGTTATACACGCCATTGTTTGAGATATCAAGTTCTGCTTCTATAAAAGTAAAAGAAATCCGGTAACAAAGCGACCTCCCGTAAGCATTAATCACAACAAAATTACAGAATTGAGAATTGAGAATATAGAGAACTGCAGACTCGGTTTGATTGAGTCTGTACATGAGGGATAATGAATACGTACAACATCCCTCACCCCCCCCCTCCCTGCCAGCACCGACTTGAGCGTACTCAATTCTCAACACTCAATAGTGCTGGCATCAATGATCCCGAAGGACCAGAAAAATATAATAACACTGAAGTGAAGTATGGGGCAACTTTTTACAGCTGCCACACAGCACTTGACACCTGCTGTTGTGAAGTATAAAAAACCGAAACAAAGCGACTTCCCGGAAGCATTAATCACAACAAAATTACAAGAGAAGGAAGAAAAACCTAAAGTGTCAGACATAAACAGTTTGAAAGAAATATAGATTGTAAAATGAAATTTCTGTTTTGCACTTTTATTAAGTGCATAGAATTTAAAGTAATTTTCTACAGTAATAAAATATAAAAGAGAGAAAAATTACACAGTGAGTAAAAAAGTAATAACAAAATCTTAAATCAAATTAGAGGTAATTCTTGAAAATAAAGGAATGCGACAGAATCATGTGAGTATTTACACGTACATGCACGGAAAGAGAAACAGACAAAACACCATAAATTTTAAGCAAGATTCTAAGTCAATAAAAAAAGATCTTTGGTATATAACTATAAGTAGTTATTAAAGCGCTTTCAAAATTATCAAACCCTTTGTTGTGTTAAGTTATTTGATCGTATTAAAACCCATAGTACACATATATTTTTTGGACAACAAGACGCCGATATATATTTTTGCACAACTGTATTTGCTATGCAACTGTATAATGAGTATCATCCATATGTTGTAAGAAGTAATAGCAACTCTCATTCACGATATGGGTTTTGATCTTGTTTCCATGACACAAAATCAGTAACTGTCAATTTACCTTCAATAACATTTTCACTGCTGAACCCAAACTTTTAATAATTTCGAAAAAATATGTGTAGGCCAGAGAATGCATTTTTAATAGTAAACTACTTAAATATTTTTATAAAATATACTCACTAGTAAAAAGTATCGAACCGCTTTACTTTCGACCCCCTGTGTAAGAGAATAGATAGGATGAAATAACAATATTTTCCATGAAAAATAATGTATTGAGGCTATCAATTTAAAAGATACTCAGAAAGTCCCGTTACCACCCATAGCGCGGGTGCCCTTGGGTCAGATTTTCAGATCCGAATCCCACACATGATAGATTCGAGAGATCATCATATCGCTATAACCGATGTATCAATAAAGGAAATATCAATAATAATGGAGCTTAATTTGTATTGATTCGATTATATTTAACTTAACGAACTGCACTTTCTATGTAATATGATTATCATATAAGAAATCTATTAGTAAAAGAAAGAGCATCGAAACACTAGGCGATTTGTTTGATGGGACGTAGCCTCGGAGTATAGATCAGATTGCCGAGTATTTTAATGTTCTTTCTCTTTTGTATCTTAGGCAAAAAACAACAACAATGTTTCTTTTCGGCACAAACTGAAACCCTAGAAAAAATAACCAATGAAAGAGCACTTGAATATGATATTTCTTCCGTTATCCCCTTGCCTGTCGTCACAATAAGTAAACCCCGAAAAATTAGCCAATCCACGAGCATGCTCTATAGACAGACAGTGGGTGCGTGTTACTAATTCTTGCACTCCAGTTAACACACTGTGCATTAAGGTGTATTTTTATTAAAGGCCTTCATAAATTAATTATACTTTTAGATATTTATTCGTTCCGTTTTCTGCTATTTATTTTGGTTAATCAATAGATAACCCGGGACTTTGAGATTGATGATGACAAAGGTAAGAAGATGAAAGCTATTGACGTGTTTGGTGCTGTCATTCAATATCTGAAAGATTATCTGCTTGACCAGTTGAAAACAAGAGGACCGGAGGTACAGAACAATGACATACACTGGGTTTTGACTGTGCCCGCTATATGGACAGACTCCGCTAAACAATTTATGAGGGAAGCCGCATATTCGGTAAGACCACCTTTATACATTATGCTGGTATCTAAATAAGAATTCTATTGAATTAACGTTAAAATATATTTCATTTATAGCAATTCTAAAATGCATTATGTAAAAGACCCATACATAGACATGGCAACAATATTATTACATAGTATTTCCGAAATAATGTTAACTGTGCTTTATTTCGTGGCAATCGTGGCAAATGTACACAAATATCATCTACCAAGAAACTAGTCTAAGAGTCAATACTCGTAGAAAGAACACTGTAGCAAAATGTTCACTGATCAGTGAGCTACAGAGTCGGTCAATATGACATCTTCTGTTTGTGTAAATAAGTTAAGTGACCCCAACAGAATAATGACCCCTTGGTCAAATATACAACTTTTGGCTAACATTCTTTTTTACTTTTATGTGACCTTGATCTTACCATTGAGTGATTGACATATGTCCTGATCTTAGTTTCAAGTCTCGTATCTGCTCTAATTATTGGCTTACTTTTACATTCTCATGATTATCCTGAAAAGTTCCAGCATCTCTAACGTCCAGCTCAGGTTTAGCTGTATTCAATTCAAAGAAAACCGGACAATATTTTACAGTTACACTATTGTATTACTGAATTAACCGACATTTTGTCCGATGATGTATAGGTGATCATTTTTAGTAGATATACTCCGCATTATTATCAAATCAAATGTTGAGTACGTATGATTATTTGATATAAGCTTTAGTATATTGGTAATACCGTACTCAACGGGATATTTGGAAGTTATTGCCATCTAATAATTGGTGAAATAGTATTTCTACGTTTGAGTGTGATGTTTTGCTATTTCTAGTGCTACTTAAAAGTATTCTGAGTGCTCTTTCTAAGAAAAATTAATGACAGGGTGCCATTTTCATTAAAGAAAAATGACATTACCAATAAAGCATAAAACAAAAAAAAAAATTTCAGCCCAGCTAGTAAACGTATCTTTGAGCTGGGGGCTGCAGCCTTGAAGCCAGGGTCTGAACCATTGCCCCAGTAAGTCACGAGCCCAGGATACCTGAACCGAGAGACAGACACTTTTACCACTAGTTCACTGCTTCCCTTAAAATACTGGCTCGGATAAATATTAAAGTCCTCATATCTTCTGTATATTAAACTCTTTGTTAAGTTATTATACATCAATAAAAAGTACAGCATGTTATTGTTGCTATTGTTATCCCCCGCCGATGGAATCGGGAGGGGGATATAGTTTTGGCGTTGTCCGTCCGTCCGTCCTTCCGCACTCACAGGATAGTAATTATGTGGCTAGAGGGACAATAGGTAACTGTTCTTTCTCTTTGATGTCATTCATTCCGTAATGCTTTTATGTGGCTATTTTCTTTTGTGTGGCTAAAAAGAACAATAGAGAGAACAATAGAGTAGCCACATAATTACTGTCCTGTGAGAACGTCCGTCCATCCGAATTTCGTTTCCGGAGTAGTTCTCTGCAACTACTGGCTGGAATTCAACGAAACGTTATGGGAATCATCAATATCAAGAGTAGATGCGCATATCGTCGGCTTGTTCCGGTCCGACACTTTAACTCAGAGTTATGGCCCTTGATTAGTTATGCAGTATGCATATAGAGTCAAAATTGTTTCCGCGCTACTTCTCTGCAACTACTGGCTGGAATTCAACGAAACTTTATTGGAACCTTCAATACCAAGAGGAGATGCGCATATCGTCGCCTTGTTTGGGTCAGACACTTTAATTCAGAGTTATGGCCCTTGATTAGTTATGCAGTATGCATACAGAGCAAAAATCATTTCCGCGCTACTGCTCTGCAACTACTGGCTGGAATTCAACAAAACTTTATGAGAACCTTCAATACCAAAAGGAGATGCGCATATCGTCACCTTGTTTGGGCCAGACACTTTAACTCAGAGTTATGGCTCTTGATTAGTTATGCAGTATGCATATAGAGCAAAAATCGTTTCCACGCTATTTCTCTGCAACTACTGGTTGGAATTCAACAAAACTTTATGGGAACCTTCAATACCAAAAGAAGATGCGCATATCATTGCCTTGTTGGGGTCGCACATTTTAACTCAGAGTTATGGCCCTTGATTAGTTATGCAGTATGCATATAGAAAAATATTTGTTTCTGCGCTACTTCTCTGCAACTACTGGCTTGAATTCAATGAAACTTTATTGGAACCTTCAACACCAAGAGGAGATGTGCATATCGTCGCCTTGTTTGGGTCAGACATTTAAACTTTGAGTTATGGCCCTTGATAACTTATGCAGTATACAACCAGAGCAATAATCGTTTCTGTGCTACTTCTCTGTAACTACTGGCTGGAATTCAATGAAACTTTATGGGATACGAAGAGGAGATGTGCATATAGTTGCCTTGTTCCGGTCAGACACTTATAACTCAGATTTATAGCCCTTATTTAGTTATGCAGTATGCATACATCTCATTGACATTTCCAGATATTACTATTTAACACAGAGTTATGGCTCTGTTATTGCCCTGGATATTTATCAAGTTCAAAGAATATTACTGTTTATGCCATGATAAATATATAAATAAAGCCTTATGTCTTCTGTTGTTGTGTTAGTAATAACCAGTACTCGGCGGGGGATATAAATTCAACGAATTTGCTTGTTGCATTAAATGTAATACAACTTAACTACAAGAAGTAATATCTTAACCAAATGAGATATAAATTATTCCACTTATAGCTTCTGCATTTATTCAGGCAAGAAATTAGATCATAAATATATATTTTTTTAAAGTTTTGTCCTTTTAGCAAATTTTCATTATCTTATTGTTTATTTTGCAAGGGGTTAACTTTAAAAATGCCAACAAATGACGGAATGGGGGAACATTATTTAAAGCGGTCACGATTCTTCTCGAGGGTAATTATGGGGAGGTCAAAATACTTGACTGTGTCAAAATGCTGGACAACTAATGTCAAATTTAATCCACATCATCTGAAACTATGCGTCAAGTCCAAATTCTATAGCTGTATCGCGAAATATAAGTAAAAAGGTGTTTCGATCAAAATTAAGGTCAACTGATGGCAAAGTTTAATTTTGCACCGGCAAATATACATGTAGTCATTATTTCATAGCTGTAGACTTAATACAAAAAAAGTAGTTAACTGCATTATGACCTCGGTCATAAGTGGTAGGGGGTTACTTTGAAAGACACTATTTATGCTTAAGCCTGTGGAATTTCAGGACATGAATTTTAACGTTTTAACTATAAACATATAATGAAAATATGTCTCCCGAGTCAGGCCAAATTTGCACGCCAAATATCTAAAGGGTTACTTAGTCCATGCGACTTTAGATTGGAACATACTTTGTCAAAACCTGCTAGACAATGTGACTTACCAAAATCTTAGCTGTACCCTTGGCAAATTTCATGAGAAAGGTTTTTTGTAAGTTTTTACTACAGTGTATATACATACAAGGAAAAACCATGAACCCGCGCTTGAATCCAATTTTGACACTAGAGCTATAAAATAACTTGATATTGACCTGCTAGGTAAGGTTACATACCACATATCAAAACCTTGTGCTTTTTGGAAGAACATTTTAAGGCTTTTCATCGGTTGTCATGGTAACAAAACTTCTGCGTGAAAATTAATTTTTTAAACAATTGAGTACTAACAAAATCAGCCCACTGTTTTAGAAAGACAAAGCTAATGACGTACGACGAACGACGGACACAGCTCACCATAAGCACGTTGCGCTTACTTGAGCTAAACATTTGAGCCAAACATCATGAATAATAACAATTTCATTGGCAAGAAATACATGTAATGCAGACGACGTATTTTAAGGCTCAAATATTTGACACTTTCTTGGACAAGAGCCTGGGAGTAGAATGCTAAAATGTGTGTTCTGTACGACAAGTCAATGTGTGTGTTCTGCACGATTTGTCAATGTGTGTGTTCTGCACAACATGCCAATATGTGTGTTCTGCACGATATGCCAATGTGTGTGTTCTGCACGACATTGCGTGCTAAATTTAAAAACTTTACTCTTTTTGTGCCTCCACTACAGGTGGGGGGAGTTAGATTTGACCTTGTCAGGCCTTACGTTCTCTTTTGTGTCGCACGTATCTCAAAAACTATTTGATCTGGAGTCATAAACTATAGGAATATTGGTCAGCATGTGTAGTTATGCACCTGGGTGTTTGCGTGTGGAATTATTCAGTATCTGTAGAGTAATTGCCCTGGACTAAAAATGTGCAGTTTTCAACTTGTGTTGCACGAAGCTCAACTAGATTTGACCTATGGTAATGAAACTGTACAGGAATTTTGCTCAGCACCTTGGGTATCAATTGTGAATTAATTCTGTTTTGTCAGAGTTATGGCACTTGACTTAGTAAATATATTTTCAATTTGTGTCGCACGTAGCTCAACAATATTTGACATATTGTCAAGAAACTTTACAGGAGTGTTGCTCAGCATGTGAAACTGTGCACCTGATGTTTCGCTTGTGGATTTATTCTGTATTGTCAGAGTTATAGTTCTTGACTTAGTAAAACATTTCACTTGTTTATTTTTGTCGTGCATAGCTAAAATATTTGATATATAGTCATGAAACTTAACAGTAATGTTGGTCAGCATATGTGATGGGAAACTGGGGTTTGCTTATATTTATCCAGTATTTGTAGAGTTATTGCCCTTGACTAAGTAAATATTAACAATTTTCAACTTGTACTGCGCGTAGCTTAATTATGTTTGACTTATAGTCATGAATTTTTTGCAGGAATGTTGATAAGCATGTGAAGTTGTACACCTGGTGTTTTTCTTGTAGATTATAATAATAATAATAATAATAATAATAATAATAAAGACTTTATTTAAAGAGGCAACATAGTTAGGCAAGCCCAGTCTTCCCTATGAGCCTCTATGAGATTGATTCTGCTTTGTCAGAATTATTACCCTTGACTTAGTTATGATGATGACAAATTTCCAATTTGTGTTGCACTTATCTAAAAAGGTTTTTGACTTAAGAAACATGAAACCTTATAAGAATGTTGGTCATCATATGTGGTTGTGCACTAGGGGTTTTGGTTGTGGATTTTTTTCAGTATTTCCAGAGGTATTGCCCTTGATTAAGTAAAATTTTGCAATTTTCATCTTGTGGCGTGTATATATAAAGAATTATTTGACCTTGAGTCAGTATGTGTAGTAATGCACCTATGGTTCGCTTGTGTATTTATTCAGAATTTTGTAGAGTTTTTGTCATTGACTAAGTAAAGGATTTTTTTTGGTTTTCAGCTTGGGTCACATGTAGCCCAAAAACATTTGGCCTAGAGTCAGTAGATTGACAAAACATTAAAATTCAGGGGCAACCGTGTCCCATGGACACATTTCTAGATTTCTCTGACTTTGACCTTGATGATTTACATGAAATGTGGCTTCTGCATGTTGTCCAATTTAATAAATATTTGATCCATATAGACAACTTAAACACCTTTGTTGTCTCAAGTCTTTATCTTTATATTTACGAACTTTATTTCGAAGTTTGCACCTGGAACCTTATTTTACTCAATCAAATCATGAAGAAGGCCTACAATATTCATGTAAAACATTATTTACATAGTTTTGATGAAGAATGTAGCATTATCTTGTTTAATATTTTAGGCTGATATTGCAGAATCACAGTTGACAATTATCACAGAACCAGAAGCAGCAATTGTATACTTCCAAATGGAAAATCAAATCGAACAATTGACAACTGTCGATATATCCAGTCCTGGGACAAAATGTATGGTTATTGACCTTGGAGGTAGGTACTAAGTTATACAGGATTGAGGGAAAGAACTTAATTCATTTTTCTGTTACTTTATAATAAGGACAGTCTGTTTATATCAAGGTCCAATTGACCACTATTAAATTTAAAATCTTACGATGTATATGTTACATGACTTAGATGACAGATACATTTAATAAATTGTTAACAAAAACAACATTTTTTACCAACATAATATGTATTCGGATAAAAATTACTAGGAGTAATAATTATATTGGGGTACTTCAGTATATAGTTTAATTGCGCTACTTAATTAAAAAATAAAATGTGTACACTATTATTCAATTAACTACAGATTCCTTAAGCATATTTCCTATAAAGTTAAAGGGGAAAACAATATCTCATTTTCATGAACAAGATATTGATTAAAGTCATAACGGGTGCTTACGACTATGTAAAGTTTTATAAAACTGATTCTTTTCTGTTTGTTTTTGATTGAATATATATATATATATATTTATACTCTAGCTACATTCTAATAGTTAGGAAAACTGTAAATTGATCTTCCAAAATAATATGTCCAATGAGAAATTAAAACCATTGAAACTGTTCACTTAGTAATAAATTAGAATGTTTTATGTAATTCTGTGAATTACTAAAGTGTATACACCTGATATTAGAACAAGAAAAATAAAACAATCACTGATGAATCTTTCAGAATTTGATTTTTAGTTCACTTAGATGAATAAATCTTAAGTATATAAAAAGTTTTAACAAGTTAACAAACATTTTTTGTAGGTAATACTGCTGATTTCACTATATTAGAGCGTCAGTCGGACGGTGGCCTTTCAGAAATCAAATCGGCAACTGGTATAGCATGTGGTGAAAACATGGTGATAGAGGAATTTCATGAACTCCTCCGTAATATAACAGGTGATGCAGTCTACCAGAAATGGATTGTTGATGGACATCCTGGTGATCAAACAGATCTGCAAAATGAGATTGAATCAAAAACTAGAACACTTAAAACTTACAGTACTGGAAAAGTAACATTCAGATTTCCAGATTCATTGCCAAATACATTCAAGGAAATAAACCATGAAAGTATACAGCAAGCTATAGAAAGATCACAATATAAAGGTAGAATTACATGGTTATCGGATAAAATAAGAATAGATAAAGAGATAGTCAAAACTCTGTTCAAACCTTGCACTGATAGGATAGTAGGTCTTGTTAATCTTTTACTGAAAGAACCTGGTGTTCAAGGAACGAGCATATTTCTGATAGTCGCCAAGGCTCAAATAGTTCAAAAGGCCATAAAAAAAGCCTTCCCGACTGTTAATGTCATCATACCGAAAGAACCAGACCTGGCCGTTTTGAAAGGTGCAGTGATTTATGGTCATCAACATTAGGGTATAAGTAAGACTCTCCTGATTAAAAACACACTCACACTCTGTTAAGTTATACCAGATCAAGTATGTTTTCTCGACTTAATGAATTCTTGATGAAGAAGAACTTTATAAGTTTAGATATATTTCGTTCTTATGTATTTTCATATGGTACAAACTAAAATGTATAACATATAATCTGTGTATGTTATGGAATGAACGAAACGTCTGATTTTTTAAAACATATTTTTACGCCACACAAAAGAAAAAAATCAGCACCAAATTTATTCTAATTGCACATACATTGTATGTTACACATAAGCTTAACTGAAAAATTACAGTTTCATGATAACGAGAATTGACTTCACTTTTATTTTACTGTAGCACCAAATATTATAACTCTGTAAATTAAAGATTCTTTGTTAGATATACATTATATTAGATTTCCTAAAACATACAAAATGGTGCATTGTTAACATCAAAAATATCTATGTAAGAAAGAAATATATTATAACTACATGTAATCATTTTCGTTGTTTTTTCAGTCAAGATTAAGTGTTCTTTTAATATAAGGTTTGGAAGGAAGAAAAACATCTTATTCCTATTTAATCTTCGCTGGTAAAAAATGAAACTTGGTTAATATTGCCATGATTTTATGTTGCTTTTGTTTGTTTTTAATGCTGAATTTACACATTTAAGTGTGATTTCAATGGTCTATCCGCCTAACTGGATTTCCTTGATTAGCAATGTATCCAGCGACGCAAGATAACTTATAAGGAGACTAAAAGTTCAAGATCAATTGTTAATATCTTAAAAAAGATACGCATCTATACATTTTTGTTCAAACTATCATATAACTTACATGAGAATTATGCTTCCTTCAATGATATATGCATTAAAAACGAGTTTGATCTAAAGTCAGTAATACTATGGTATATCGATGCTTTTTAATCTAATCTGGGACATAGATCTAATATAAGACTTGAATAATGAGTGAGTAATAATTTTCATCGAAACTAAGATAGATGTCTCCCTACCCCAAGACATATTGCTTTACCAATCTTTTAACAAATTATAGCAAAGAATTTTTGGAAACCTTTGGTACTTATTCACTAAATTTAGTCCTAAACATTCAAGCCGATGATTACAATCTGAAAGGCTTGGAGTGTATTATGTAACTTTATCATATTCCTGTGCAGATTTTGCAACTCGTAAAAATGGTATTGCACGGCCGTGCATATATTTTGAAGTGACCTCATTTGCATTATACGACGCATTAAATGTTACCGTTATATTAAAGGCGCGTTGATGAAAAATGGTTCTTTTTCACTTCAAACATTCTTTTTTTTTGGTTTGTAATAATTAGAATATTCAATTCGTGCAAGTTCATTTCTGACTATTGAACTCGTTTAATAAAAACAGATTATGCTCACCAGAAGCTCGCATAATATATTTTATTCAACTGGTTCAATAAATTCAGTATTAAACCTATACTCATTCAACATCCTCTATTTATGTCTGAAGGAAAACTAATTACCCTGCCGCCGTACAATTATCAACCTTGGACCGACTTTCAACCTGTTATTTGTATTTATTTATAAAATAAAACTTATAAAAGGAACTGATTCCAAAAGTAGTTTAACGAAAACTGCATCAGCCTTTTTTAATAAACAAACAGCAGACTTTCAAGTTGTTCAAGAGTGTTATGGTTCTTGTTTAAATGAGATCTCTCAACCAAAACAGTCTCAAGTTAATTCCTCCAATATTTTTGGATTATTTCCAAAGCAAGCAAAACCCAACAGACAGATGGCTGTTTAGTAAACTGTATCCTACTTACAATTTATTATATGATAAAACTTGTTTCAATTTTCCTGAAATGGCATTCAATTGAAAGATAATTACAAATTGCATAAAGTTTCAATAAAGCATTTATTCTTTAGTTCAGCTATACATTTTCTTGTAATAACATGTCTACAGTTTACTAATTTTTACATTTCTAAGTACTTACGACTATAAGAATATGTTGAAAGGTAATAATTGATAAACACGCTCTATACCACACGATAATCGTACATTTCAGTCCTGCATGTCATCTTTCCTGTCTGACAAGTCCCTTAACTGCAAGCTAGCTGCCCAATACATGTACAATGTATTTATATTTCAATTAACATAAGGACAGATAAATCGGAATTAATCAAAGACAGAACAGAACATGACAATAACATATAATCAGAAGTAAATGAAGTTCACGATTTCTTATCTTTTTCTAATTCTTTAATTTGGGCAGCTTTACCTGCTGCAGCTGCTGCTAGAATTTGTTGACTTGTTGTGATAGATGTCCCTGAGGAACCAAGAATAACATTTGCTGGACTCCCAGGGGTAACACCTGATACAGAAGACCCAACTGTTGTAAATATGACATTAGCAGGGCTTCCAGAGTTTGTGCCCGTGACAAGTTTACTCAGTGTTTGTCTAAGGGCTGCATCACTTTGCACAGCAATTGTCTGTCCTGTAGGACCAACTGTTTGGATAAGCTGACCTTGTGTTGAGAATCCTTGAACTCCTCCAGCAAGCTTCATAGATCCAGGATTAATTATTCGAGCAAATACAGGCTTCCCTTGCTGTGATGTTTTTCCCTGTGGTCTAGTATTCTGAACAATATGACCAGGAGGTAGCACTTGCCCTTGCTGCAGCGCTGGCTGGGAAATTAAGATTGTAGCTTGACCTGCCTTAAGTCCAGCTTGTTGTGAAAGAACTGTTCTAACCATTTGAAGATTAGGACTTTGTTGGGTACCCACTGCACCTGAAACTGGAAAATGAGTGATTCTTTATTCTTCTATCCTTATTTTATCAACTAGAAATCTCAGTAGAGTTACAGTGCTAAGCTATTGTATCTGAACACACTGGTACACATTATTTCAAATTGAGCATAAACATGGAAATTTGTCACTTTTATACAAAAGATTTGTTACACTGAGACTTTTATACAAGAGATTTAGAGGACTAGTTTGGTCCACTATTTTAAGTGCAGAACAAAAAATTGCAAATATAGAGATGTCCCAATGACCTAAACCTTTGTCCTTTTCACCCGAAAAAAGGACTCATCAGGATGCACCAACATACCTTGTTTTAATGTAAACTAATATTCTTATTGAAGCAACCGACAATAAGCAAAAACATTTTAACTAGAACTCCACGAGTCGGATGTGTCGCCTTGTGAACAATATAGTTTAGGAGAAATGGCCAGGACAAAAATGAAATATGAAAATTAACAAAGGGAAATAACTCAAAAAATAATAAGTGCAGAGCAGAAGTTTCTGTGCACTGCACTTCATATCAATAAGATCTATCATTCTATGAAGTTTTAAGTCCATATCTTTTATAATTTATGAGAAATGACCTGGACAAAAATAAAGGGCAATAACTCAAAAGTAAGAAATGTTACGGTTCTTGTACACTGCACTTTTTTTAATGAGATTTATCATCCTATGAAGTTTCATGTCCATAGCATTCATACATGAGGAGAAATGACCTGGACAAAAATAAAGTATGAAAATTAACAAAGGGGAAATAACTCAAAAAATAAGAAATGCAGAGTACTGGTTCTTGTGCACTGCACTTCTTCTTTATGAGATCTATCATCCTTTGAAGTTTCAAAATCCATAGCTTTTATACTTTCGGAGAAATGGCTTGGACAAAAATAAAGTATGAAGATTAACAAAGGGCAATAACTCCAAAAATAAGAAATGCTGAGTACCAGTTCTTGTGCATTGCACTTTTTCTTAATGAGATCTATCATCCTATGAAGTTTCAAGTCCATAGCTTTTATAGTTGAAGAGAAATGGCCCGGACAAAATTAAAGAATGAAAATTTACAAGGGCAATAACTCAAAAATTAAGAAGTGCAGAGTACCGGTCCTTGTGCACTGCACTTCGGGTTATTGAAAGAAGCATGCATACCAAGTTTAAAGTCAATCCGACTTATAGTGACTGAGTTATGCTCCGGACAAGTTTTAGGGGACCCCTATATGTCGCCTTTTCAAGGCGACACAAAAGTAAACAAAATCAGTTTGACTAAATACATGTATGTTCATAGGACTCATTAAGATGCATCTACATAACAAGTATACTTAGATTTTAGATCATCAAATTTCAATGAAGGCCAGTTTTATTTTAGGCCCCAGTAGTTTTGATATTTTACATTTTAACCTGAAAATGGGTGTGCAAGGTAGATATCATTAAAGTGAATATACATAAAAGTATGAAACTCCTAGATCAATGTACTTAAACGACCTGTTTTGTGGTGTTTTTTTACATGTCACAGAGAGCCTGACCTTTGACCTGAAAATGTGCATTGCAGATATAACACATCAAGGTGCATCTACATATTAAGTTTCAATGTAAAAGCTTATGTGAGTATTAAAGTTAAAAAGTGTAAATGAGAATTAACTTTATATCCCTGTATTAATATAATTATATTTCAATGTAAATGCATTTACATTGTACATCATTGTATAATACTTACACCTACCTACAGTATCTGTTGTGGATTGAGTCTCTACATTTTTCAGACCACCAGATTGCTGTAAAATAAGCTGTGCAGGAACAAGTCCTGCCTGCCCTTGAGTAAGTACTTTACCATGACTTTTAGAGGCTGAAAATTGGAATATAAAAACTGTTTACTCATAAAAAATATCAATGATATGTTAATCATTTATGTATTTATGTTATGGTTTTGTTATGCTTTATATTATGAGCAACCTGTAAATACACTTTGATATTTTGAATATAAAATGATAACAATAAGTAGCCAATCTACAAACTTTAGTAGAAAATAATGATGGTACATGTCTTTTGATATCCTTCCTAACAATGTCTATCATACAATCAAGTTTTTCACTGACATCATAAAAGACAAGAGCACTGCATGTGGTGTTAAAGGGCAATCATTATGAATAACCAACTATTATAAAATCATAACTTTAAAAAGGGCACAACTTCTAAAAGTATTGTTTCCAGGGTAATGTCCCTTGTCTCTTATCATGATATTCAAGTATTAAGTTTCATGTTGATAGCTTAAAAGTTTTGAAATCATCCTACTGATAATAAGAAATTTTGACAAAATTCTAACTTAACCTTTTCCCTTATATAAGGGTGATTCGACGGCTTTTTGCCCAACCCCCCCCCCCCTCTTTTTGAGGCCTCAAGCAGTGAAAAAAATGACCTATTTAAGGCCCCAAACACTGTTTTTCGTTTGAGAAATGTTGTTAAAAAAAGTGACCACTTTTTTGGCGCCGTCCCCATCCAAATAGTTGCCAGAAGGGGGATGTGCCCCCTTCTGTTTGGGGGGTTTAAAGGGGGCAGAGTCCCCCTTATCGCCAAGGAAATTTTGGATATGTGACAGGCTAAAAATGGCCTCAGGTCGATCTTAGGGTAACTAGTAACCGATGCTGAAAAGCCTTTTACTCTATCTCAATTCATTGAGAAGTTGCAGCACTTTGAACTCAGTTTTGATGAAAAAAACAATGCAAAATAGTGATTTTTTGCAATTTTGAGACGTCCCCCGTTGCCATGGTAACAGGAACTTTACCATTGGGCATGCTGTTACAGAGGCTATGGTGTAGTCAACATTTGTGCCAAGTTTCATTAGTATTGAAGCATAATTTATAGTTTCATAGCAGTTGGAACTTGTTACAGGAGGCTTTTCAATGAAAACGGCCATTTTTCACAATATGCTCATGGGGTAAAAGGTTAAAAAGGGACATCACCCCCAAAATATAGCTTTCAGAATAATGCCCCTTGTCATTCAACTGTGCCTTGCCATGAGATATTACAAGATTAATGTTGATATCTTTAAAACTTTTGAAATTACTCTAATAAACAGGGATTTTGATCACAAAAATTCTCTGTTAATCAGGGTCATAACTCAGGCAATTTTGACAAAAAGTCTAAGTTAAAAATGGACATGATGCCAAATATATAGCTTTATAATAATATAATAGAATAATGCCCCTTGTCTTACAACTGTGCCTTGTCAAAATTAGCAACTATTTCAAGTTTCATGTTAATATCATCTTTAGTTATTTTACTTAACCCTTTACCTCATATATACGCGAAACAACGCACTTTTAACCCTCCCCCCTCTGTTAAGCCTCAAATAGTGAAAAAATGTCCTATTTGGGCCCCAAACACATGTTTTCGTTTGAGAAATGCAGCTAAAAACAGTGAGCACTTTTTCGGCACCGCCCCCATCCAAAAGATACATCAGGGGGTTGCCAGAAGGGGGATGTGCCCCCTTCTGTTTGGGAGGTTTGAAGGGGGGTGGTAGTCCCCCTAATCGCCAAGAAAAATTTTGACTTATGAGAGGCTAAAAATGACCCCAGGTCGATCATAAGGTAACGTGTAACCAACGCTGAAAAGCCTTTGACTCCATCTCAATCCCTTGAGAAATTGCAGCACTTTGAAATAAATGGAAAAAATCAAGGCAAAATAATTCATATAATTTGGCAATTTTGAGATGTCCCCTCGTTGCCATGGTAACAGGAAATTTAAGACTGAGCATGTCGTTACAAAAATGGTCCAGTCAACATTTGTGCCAAGTTTGATTAGTATTGAAGCATTTTTCATAGTTTCATAGCAGTTTGAACTTGTAACAGGAGGCTTTTCAATGAAAACGGCCATTTTTCACAATATGCTCATGAGGGAAAGGGTTAATAGGCAATTAAAAATAGGGAAAAAATCCAAGTTAAAAAGGGCCATAACTTCAAAAATATAGCTTTCAGAAAATAAAGCCCCTTGTCTTACAACTTTTTCTAGTCATGATTAGCAAGCATTCCTAGTTTCATACTGATAACTCTATAATTGTTTGAGTAATGGCCTACAATAAAGTTTTTGTATGACATTACATTGATCACAACGCTGCAGCAATCATAACAGCTTGACTTTTACTTCGAAAAAGACGAGCAAACAATGAGTACTCCCGTCCACAGTGAAAATTTAATAATGATCATGACAGTAAAAGTTGTGTACCATACCTGTAGGTCTTAGAGTGATACTTCCACCAGACGTAAGCTGTGTCACCATTACCCCACCAGGATTAGTTGCTTTTG